CCTTAACCCGAATTATATTACCGTTCGCATTCTCGGTAATAACTAATATATTATTTTATTACTCCTGTTTTAATATTAAAAATAAAACTTAAAGCTTAAATTCTTAAAAAAGGGCTTAAATATTAATGGTTATTATATTCGTAAAAGTGGCTAGGTTAAGGGTGCCCGTTATTTAAGGCTATATTTCCTTACTAGCTTCCGTAAAAGGCGTAAAAGGATATCCCGGGCCGTTAATACTCTTTATAAAGTATTTTATAAGCTTATTAACTCGGAACTATTTATTTTTAATTAGTTATTAAACGCTAAAGCAAAATAAATACTTGCGAAAATCCTCGCTATCTCCTTTATCCACAAGCTTATTAATAGCCTAGAAAACGTATAATAACTTATTATATTTATTATTAACTTCTTCGTTATTACCCTTCTCCAGGGTAATAATATGCTTAAGATAATTAAAGTCCGCTAAATACTTATCCTGGCCTATAAATAAAGTGCGTTAATATAGCTCGCTTTAAGGCTACTTATTATTCTTTACGGATAATTATCGCGTTAACTCGATATAATTAAACTAAGCCTCGGTAACGGCGTTAACCGTTTTCTTTTCCGCGGTTTTAGCTATAATATTAAGCGGCTATCTTAATTAAGGTCGATCCCGGCGTCGATCGGGATTATATAAGCGATAAGGATTTATTACTCGGCTTTAATAACCAGAATCGTTTTTCTTCTTTTTCGTTTTAGGAATAAGGCTCCCTAACTATAAAAATGTATATAATAACCTTAATTTATTACGATCACTTAATAAAACACCGGCGTAAAGGCTTAGCAATAATAAGTATTATTAATAAAAACTAAAGTAGGAAGGGAAGCGTTTTAGGTATAATAATATAAGCATATAAAAACAAATAAATAGCTTCCCGGAGTGGATTTACCGGTGTATTTAACGACTAGGCTAATAGGAGCGCTTTATACCCCTTAATAGGACGGCTTTATTAAGCTACACCGCTTAGCTATACTAGTAGCGTATTAAGCTTAATACCGGTATTTTAGCCTAGCGTTACTATAGTTAATTTAAAGTGGTTATTTTAAGCTTTATATACTTTGTTTAAAATAAATAATTGTTTTAAAAGTTTTAATATAAACCTTTAATAAATATAAATATAATAAGCTTTAATAATAAAGATTAAGCATTATAATTAATAATATAACTAGCGTATAACTGCGGTGTTATAACCCTACTTTTATTTAATAAACTAAATTATAAATCCTTTTAACCAGTATTTACTATTAACCCTACTAGGTAGATTTTAACGTTTACTTTTATAAAGGTCGGGTGTTATAACTAGCTTTTCTCTTTTCTTTTCCACTTTAAGATTTCTACTTAATACTTGTAAATCTCGACTTTTACGTTAAGCTTTTAATATAATTATAACCTTTTTTTTAAAAAAAAGTAGTAATTATATTTTAATATTTATATAATTAAAGGGTATAATTAAATATAATATACGCGTATTAAAACTGTTTAGCTTTATTAGTTAAATTATAGCTTTATTAACGGACTTAGTTATTTACTATTTTTATAATTACTTATTTATAGTTCTTTTTATATTTTAAAAACAAAGGGGTTTTTTAATAAAAACGCATTAATTACGCTGTATTATTAATTATTATAAGTATTTTTACCTTTATATTTTAATTAAAAGCTTTAAAATAATATTATAAGCTTACGTATTAAAGTTTTTAATAACTTTTTTAAACTTTATTTTTTATTGTTTTATATTATACGCACGTATTAATTAAAACGCGTTTACTTTTTATTATAAATTTAAGTAATATAAAACCTAGTAGTAAAAAATGCCTTTTTAACGTTTAATTATAACCGCGTGCTTTTAATTATAGTTAAATGCTTTTAGCTATAACTGCGTAATTTAAGCTATAAATGCGTGCTTTTAACCTAAACTTATAACTGCGTGCTTTTAATTTAAAGCTATAACTACGTGCTTTTAGCTATAATCGCGTGGTTTTAAAAAATTACCGGGCTTATATAACTTACCGGTAAAGCTTTAAAAAGGCTTATAAAGCTGTAAAAATTAATAACACTTAATCGGCTGCTTTTATAAAGCTATAAGTGTTTATATATACTTATACAGCTTTAAAACGTTAATATTTATAGTTAAAACTAATAACACGCACTTTATAATAACTAGGTTTATAATGGGCTTATATTACTGCTTTATAGCCCTTTATTTAATTTTGAAAAATAGCTACACTGCGCCGATAGTAGGAAGTGCACTGCGCTAATAGTGATTCTCTATATAAGGCTCGTCGGACTCCCTTTATCTCCTTTTCGGTTCTCACTCCCTCAGGGTCAGCCTCTGTATTAGGCTGACTGCAGAATTTACCCATCATCCCTCTCTTTGCTCTGTGCCTAACCCCTCTCTGCAGTGCGGCTGTGACAGAAACTACGGTAAACAGTAGTAAACCATAGCTAAGACGCTCGGCTTAACAGACCGAGTTGCCCTGTACAATTGCCAATGAAGCTCTCTGGCGCTATCTTGGGCAGCCTCTGCCTCGTCCTGAATCCATGGCAGACCGTCACCGCAACCAGCTCGCTGCTGGACGCATCGATCGCTGAGCTCCAGAGCCTGCTCGCCGCCGGCCGCCTCACGAGCCAGGCTCTTACCGAGCTCTATAGCCAGCGCATCGCCGAGGTGAACGATGAGCTGCACGTCGTGATCGAGGTCAGCTCGGACGCCTCGACGCTGGCCGCCGCGCTCGATGCCGAGCGCGCGCGGGGCCACGTCCGGGGGCCCCTGCACGGCATCCCCGTGCTCGTGAAGGACAACTACGCCACCACGGACGCGACGCGCACTGGCGCCGGCAGCGTGTGTCTGGCGCGCCATCGCCCGGCCCGCGAGGCCACTACCGTCGAGCGCCTGCGCCGTGCCGGCGCCGTCGTCCTCGGCAAGACTAACCTGAGCGAGTTCTCGGGCGCCCGCGGCGGCGACGTCACCGAGGGCTGGAGCCCGCGAGGGGGCCAGACCTACGGTGCGTACGTGCGAGGTCAGACGGCGTGCGGCTCATCGAGCGGCGTATGTACAATTCCTTTTCACACATACCTCCCTCCCTCTTCATCTGGCCTGTCCCTCCCTTGCTCGGGTGATCAAGACTCCCAAGGCCCTGAGCGGGATTGCGAATGCCGAGAGAGAGCACCAACCGTCCCTCATGGCGAGGAATAGCTGACCTGAGAGGTTGAAGTCGGGCGTGGCGGCCGCGCTGGGCCTAGCTGCCGTGGCCCTGGGCACTGAGACCGAGGGCAGCATCACCTGCCCGGCCATGGTCAATAACGCCGTTGGCATTAAGCCGACCGTGGGCCTGACGTCCCGGTTTGGCATTGTACCCATCACCGCGCGTCAGGACACGGCGGGGCCGCTCGCGCGGAGCGTCGCCGACGCCGCCCTGGTCCTAGACGCCATGGCCGGTCGGGATCCGCGCGACAACTACACGTCGGCCCAGCCATGGGGGAACGACGAGGCACGGCCCAGCTACGCGGCGGCGCTAAATGCGTCAGCACTGGCGAGGAAGCGGCTAGGCGTCCTGTGGGTGGACGATGAGGCCTTCTTCCGCTTGCCGTACCCTCTTGAGCAAGTCCGGCCCATCTTCAGTCAAGCACTGCTTGACCTTGAGTCTGCCGGCGCGGAGCTCGTTCACATCAGCTTGGACCTGGGAGGTCTTTCTCCCCACGAAGCGGTTGAGCAGATGAGCAGAGACATGGGCTTCTATGGCGTGCCGGATTTCAAGGAGGGCATTGAGCGGTACATGGGCAATCTCCTGCCCGGTGTCGACGTCGTCCACAACGCAACGGCGCTCTACCACTGCCTCAAGGCCGATCCGTCCGAGTTGGCGTCGGAGGTCGGTCTTGAGTGGTGGGAGGCGATTACCAGTACCAATGTATCTGCAGGCAGCCAAGAAGCATGGGATGCGTACATGGCCGCATCTGTGTTGTCTCGGAACATCATTACTGGACCTATGCAAGAGCACAACCTCACGGCTCTGGTCATGTCGCCGATACTCGCCGCGCAGATCACCGCCTCGCCGGGCCTCCCGATCGTGACTGTTCCCATGGGAGCGTATGGGGACGACACGAAGACGCAGATGGACAGGACCAACACCGTTGTCGAGACGGCGCCCGGGCTGCCCCTGGGCATCAGTTTCGTGGCGGACCGGTGGAGCGAGCACGAGCTCATTGGATACGCCCACGCTTACGAGCAGATATCTAAGAAGCGTCAGGACCTGGATCCCTGGATAAGACCGGCCACGGATCTGGAAGCCATCTTGGACAGAGAAGACCTTGGCGGCGAGCTATAACGCAATCCAGTGGCACGGAGGAGACTTCCATAAATACTTACTTCTACGAACCTGTCTTCACTCGGCCCCGCTGTCGCCGTCCCCCTGCCCAGCGTGCCTATCAATAGCCGTCACGGTTGATGGTCCGATAGAGGCCCGGTGATGTTGGAACTCGAGGCCGAAGCCACCGAGCTCCAGGGTACGGCACTGTAAGTTTACTTGGCCCTGTCAGTCATGGTAGAGATGCTCCCGCCTCTTTCTCCAGTATTCCTCCCAATGCCCCCGGAACGATTGCAATTGCATGATCCCGGCCTCGAATCCGGTCGGAGCCGAATCATAATGTTGGATCACCTGTGAGCAAGTTAAAGAGAGAAGAAGCTTCAAGAACGGCGTCCCCTTCTTCCATGAACTGCAACTCTACTTCTAACCGACGGGGAAACTGAATTAGATGGCAATTTATCTATGTTGATAATGCAGCTAAGATCGCTTGACTCAGCTGGCTAGAACATTGTGCTACTATTCTACTATACGGAGGAATCCCTAAGCCCGAAGGTATCTGCCGTGCATTTTGAGTCGTGCATTCATTTAGATAGCCCACCAAAGCAGCAAAGAAAACAGAAAGGACGAAAAAGGAAACATGAACAACAACAAAAGATTGACAAGAGTGGGATTCGAACCCACGCGGGTTGCCCCAGTAGAATACGCATGCATTGCAACATGTAAGAGCGAGAATCGTTCTTGAGTCTACCGCCTTAACCGCTCGGCCATCTTGCCTGTTGTCTCCATCCAGTCATGGTTGAGGACGTTTCATTGGTGGATGAAAGAGTTTTATTGCCATATATGGAAGACAGCTAGCTCATTGCGACCCCACGTGGCTGTGCGCCTCCAAAGGTACCCCCACGAGCCCCACCACTAGTGTACTCGTTTCCTTCCAGGTGAGCCATCATCATCTTACCAGAAGTTAGAACCAGTGCCCAACCCATGCAAAACACCGGGAGAGATGTAAATGGCAAGACAGGCTGGACGGAAGCAGGCCAAGGTCCATGCACTCTCGCGGACCAGAGCTGTGCCTCGTCTAATGGCTAAACAGTAAGTTGACACGAAGTTACGTAGTACTCTGTATCCATTAGGTTATTACGGAGTAGGTGCTTATCTAACCCGAATCCGAGAGCCCGTCACAACCTACATCCTGCTTGTTCGCCTTCCTCCTCCTTCTCTGTGGGATGGATACGAAACAGTCCATACTGATTCCTTCGCAGCTGTTTCTCTGCGTGCTGGCTCAAATTATCACCAGATTGCAAGGGGACTCCCGGCGCAGCGCTCCATTCATCTATGCCGTCTTACTACCTACCTACGGGCACTACCGTGGGTACCGATACTTATTTGTGGTGAGCTCCCCTTCGGAGCACGTGCACAAGCTGTCGGCCTGCTGGTCTGCTTCTTATCTGCTTCTCCTCCTCCTCTTCCGTCTTCCTCCACTTATAAATTTGGCAGGTCATCGTCCCCCCGCACCAGGTTCCGCACCTCAGCTCGAGGAGGCTGTCCTGCACTACGGGGCGTAGCGGCCCGCCCTCCTCGTGTTTAGTAGTGCCGGAAGAAAGATGGTGAGACAAGCTACGGCCGCGCGCGCAGGCCAGCTCCCTCGGCGCAGCCGTTTGAGATTTGGGCATCACAGATGGGCATGGCCGCATGGTGCGGGCGCAGTGACGTGCCCCCGGCGGCGCCCTCTGCGATCGACCCTTCATTACGGATATCCAATCTGCCAATGTGCAAGACCCCAAGCCGCCATCGCCAGCTCCGAGGCCAGCTGCAGGCCAGAAGTATCCTTGTCGCCGACAGGCCCTCTTCGGCAACGCTGCAGAGGTCTCAGCCAATCCCGCCTGCCCACGCAAGGGCCCGAGAGCCAGTGCCGACAGGGACCCCTGCCAGCACCTGTGCATCCTTCATCATGAGTCTCGGCATGAATGTCCACGTGCCGCACGCACATATACCTACCTAACCTACTCTTGACCGGCTCGTCTCCAGCTCTCCCGTTTTTTTCCCAACTCTGGATCACCCGTGCTATTCCTCTGTACAACCGACGAATCGAAACGCCCGCCAGCCCACCAGCACGAAGTGAGAGCCTCACAGAGCCTTGTTAGCCGGCTACGGTACCGGTACCGATACTGGATATGAGAGGAGGGACCGGCGAGCCGGCCATGAGCAACACGCTGTCTAGGCCCCCCACCGGTAGCAGCAGCAACAGCCTCAGCAGTCGCAAGGCCACCTCCACCACCGGCTCCTCGGCCATGTCAGACGCTACCGCTAGGTCCGCCACTCCCACCACCACTACGAGTTCCGCTTCCAGCAGCAGCCGAGGCCGCGCGGCGCCGGCGGCCGGAGCCGGTGCCGGAGCCTGTGCCGGAGCCGGAGCCGAAACCGGGACTGACACCGGCGTCGACACTGACGCCGATAGCGTTCGGGATCGCGAGGATGACGACACCGAGGACAGCGATGGCGACATGTTCTTCGTGTCGCTATGCCCGTTAGCGCCCGTGTCGGTGGTGCTGCTGCATACGCTCTTCGGCTCGCACCTCGAGTGGTCGCACACGTCGCCGCGGCTGACAGACTACCACCTCCTGATCCCGGACCTCCCGGGGCATTCGCGCTCGCGGCGCACGGGCGGCGGCGGCTCCGGCTGCGGACCTCTCACGGCCGAGCGCGCCGCCGACCTCGTGGCGGCCATGGTGCGCGACCACGCGCACGACGGCGTCGCGCACCTGGTGGGCCAGTCGATGGGCGGGGCCGTGGCGCTCGAGGTGGTGCGCCGGCACCCGGACGTGGTCGCGAGCGTCTTCGTCACGAGCCTGCGCGGCGACATGGGCCTGCAGGGCTTCGTGGCCAGCTACCCGCGGCTGGCGACCTTCGGGCTCACGACGGCGCTGCGCCTGCCGGCGCAGACGCTCGTCAAGGCCTCGGGCTGGGTGCCCGAGCACCAGAGCGACGCCTACCTGCGCGAGGTGCGCCGCAACATGTCGGCGCGCCTGCTGCAGGCCGGCGCCCAGATCACGCGCGACTTCGGGCGCGCGCCCATGGTCGAGGTCGCCCGCCGCGACAAGCGCATCGCCGTCGTCGCCTCGGGCCGCCAGGACGACGTCGAGGCCACGCGCGAGGACGGCCGGCTGCTGTCGTCGCTGACCGACGGCCCCGGCCGCCTGTCGCGCGCCTTCGTCGTGCGCGATGCCATCCACGCCTGGAACCTGCAGCTGCCCGACGTCTTCGCCCGCGGCGTGAGGGCCTGGGTCGAGGGCGGCCGCTTCATGCCCTCCGAGTTTGAGCTCCTCGAGTAGGAACCACCGAGCGCCATCCAACAACCATCCATCCATCGACTTATTCATGTGCACGTGTGTGTCCTCTCGCTCGGCACATGCCACACCGCATATGTCGAGACCGGTGCCCCTTCAGCGGCAGGACCTAGCCACTTCGGTGCTCGCCGGGCCTCGATGGGTCCGCGCAATGACTGCTCCCGCGATCTCGTGAGCTCGACACAACGCAGGCCGGCATACGAGATGCCGCGTCGTCACCTCCCCAGAGGCGCCGACTAGACTACATACCTCATGGAGTCACTCGATGATGCCGACCGCCGCGCCAGAATGGCTGCCGACTACATCTTCGAGTCCATCAACGAAGTTAATCTCCTGGCAGATGCACTGACTGATGTGGCGCAGACTCGCGTTCTCATGATCGGCGCTGGCGGAATCGGATGCGAGCTGCTCAAGAATCTCGTTCTCAGCGGCTTTGGCGAAATCCACATTGTCGACCTCGACACGATCGACCTCAGCAGAGCAAACCAGGGGATTCGCGCAACATCAGCTCCTAAGCTCTGAAGAAAGCCACCCAATTGGACAGATTGGACGCCGGCTAGCGAAGCTGGGAAAGCGGGCGTCTCTTACCATGTCAACCGTCAAGACCAGCATGTGTAGGTAAGGCTTTCAAGGACGCACCACAGCGCTGAGCAAGGTCTCTATTCACACGCGGAAAACATGGGTCAAGGGCAGTGGGAATCGAAACGCCCTGCTAGCGCCACGCTGTCTACCCGGCCAATCTACAAATATCGAGGACGGCCATTGCACCAAGGCTACCTATTGTCAACGCCGAAGCCGCACACCCGCCCCCCTTTCTATATCAATCGGAATCCATATACATGGACTCGCCGTCCGCTACGCCGGGGACGGCCGATCCGTAATCGTTAGTCACGTGGCCATGTTGAATCTGGCCCCCTCCCACGACAGACAACGCCGCGGCGTTTACCTTGTTCATGTTGGGCATCGACTGGGCAACATTGAGTCCGCGGCCCCCACCCGTTCCGTTCGGTACGAACGGGGGATCCGCGTTGGTCGGCACCCGTGCGCTGTGGCCTCGCGCTCTGGGTACGTCTAGCTGGCTGTGCTGTTGCCGCTGGCTCGGTGGATCGCCTACCATGGACGCCAGCGGCGCAAAGCTGTCATCCTCATCCATTTCTGCGTCGGCATCTTGGTCGCTATTGCCCTCCTCGGCCAGATCCGCCACACTAGTGGGTTGGTTTCTGGTCACGGTGGGCTTAATGTCGGTCAACGCGACCGAATTTGGTGTCGGTACAGGGTTGATCGATGGTCGGTGCTGTGTTGACGTCCTGGACCTGGGAGTAGGGGCAGGCGCCGGCATGGTGGCAGTTGTCGGGATCGGGGTCGGGATCGGGGTCGAGGCGGACGACTCATCAAGCGACCTCTGGCCCGCCATGCCAGCTCCCCGTGAAGATACGATGACCGTCTTCCAGCGCTCGATAGCGCGGGAGACTAGAGAGCTGAGATCTAGGTGGCGGTCGTTAGTGTTGAGACCAACACCCTGGTGGCCCTTGGCACCGAAATCAAGACAGTATGATAGAACCGGGTCTTCTATAGGAATAGTAGCCGGCGGCATGATGCGGAACTCGCGTGGCTGCTGGAGCCGATTGAGCTGCTCAATCTGAGTCTTGAGGTTCGCATTCTCCTGCTTGATGGCGTGTTGCGATTCCTTGAGCTTTTCCAAGTCCTTTTGTCTGCGGCCCACGCTTCGCGCGAGCTCCAGTACCCACAGCTCGCTTTTCCTCTGCGCCGGTTGCTGTTCCCAAGCCTGGAAGGCCGACTGCAGATGCTCGTTCACTTGTTTCTCGAGCGCGGCGGCCGCCTTCTCTGCCTTCTTGACGCCCTCGCGAACGTCTTGCGGCAAGTGAGCATGCGATGGCGGGTACGTAAGATCCTCTGATGTAGCTGTGGTTGCCATGGCGCAGGCGACCCTCCACTTGTGGAATTCCTCTCGAAAGTACGTCTGCAAGGCCTCGTACTGCTTCTGAGCAGGCGGCTGTATAGACCACGACGTCGAAGTCGGGTGGGGCGTGGAGGAGAAGAGAGTCGGCGGAGCCTGCAGGCACTGCAGGGTGAGGGCGGGGAAGTCGAGAGAAAGGGGCTCGAAATCAAAGGGCAGCGAATTCATGTCGATATGTTGCCTGATCGGACCACATCGAGTTAGCCACTGACAGTTCAGCCACCACAGCGGGCCGCAGCTAGAGGGAGGGAGGGAGGCCTACTTGGCAGCTCTCCACGAGCTCAGCAGTTCCCTCAGAGCCAGCTCGGCGGCGCGGGCCGTGTCCATGGCGTCGCCCAGCTTCTGGCGAGCGTCCAGCTGTGCCCTCTGAGCGACGCGGCTCGGGGCCCTCTGGGCGACAGGCTTGGGGGTGGACGCATCCGGAGCCGAGGCGGGCTCGCCCCAGGCGCTGG